GAAACTAGTCAGTGAATTTTCACCTAACTCAACCTCATTTAGTCAGATTTGAACCTAGACCAAGATGCATTTTTATTAACTGTGACCGCTCTGTAGCTCGCTGTGTCGGTTGGTTGGTCTGCTAAATTTTTCCCACCGTTTGGCGGCCACAGCTTTCGCCCTGGGAAGCTGAAATGTTGCATGGAGGTCAAGTGTTTGTGAGGTTGTGTGTCTGTGAATGCAGTATGGATTCACGTTTGTTGCAGCTATTCCAAATGTGTGCTTCTTCACCTGCACATAACCAAATCCATGCTTACTCTGTGAGTTAATGGTTAATCAGCAGATGCAAACTGGATGCAAGATGGAGGGTTAACAGTGAACAGCTAAAGGCTTATTTCGCGGATGATCAACACTACGCAAGATTTTCAGTCTGAGTCTTAGTAGTAAGGAGTTCCGACGACAGAGGATCATGTGATAACTCACCACTCCGTTGGTTGAATTCTTTTTGTCCACCAGGACTCGAGTGCTGCCCCCTTCTGTCATCTCTATGGAAGGAGTTGCATCCCAGTTAGTGGTGGCACGGGGGATGGGGGTGACGCCAGTGGGCCAGGGCTGGTTTACGTCGCCTGATGAGTATGGACTGCTGCTGTAGTCTGGCTTGCTCTTTGAGCAACTCCTCCTGATGGACAGACAATGCGGAATGGAAAATGTGCATGAATATAATATATAAAATCCTTATTCCTCCAATAGAGCTCTATTTAACTATTGAAAACACATAAATTATCTACATTTTTCTTCATTACAGTGAACACAGTAACTGCACTTTATTTTTAGTCAATCATTCACCGTCCTGCTGCCTTAGATACTCACTAACACACCAAATGTGTATTAATTCGTAGCTGAAAACAGTCCCCAACACGTCTTATTTACTCCTGATTGCTAAAAGCTACAGTGCCCAACTGTTTTAGGAAATTCCATTTAAAAATGAAATAATATATTATATACATATTATACACTGTTTTAAAGATGACGTTAGTAAGAACCAATGGGCTTGGGGCCACAGTCAGGGCTGGGGCAGTTGGAAAGATGTACTAACACATTGTTTTTGGTCTTTTCATTTAATTTGCTGACTATAATAAAAATACTGAATGGTATGGCCAGCCTTAGTATTAAAAATTGGTTAAATCTGATTGAAAACTGCGATTTTTAGGCATTTGGGTTCCAATTAAAACGATGCTGAAATTTTATTTTTTTTTTATCAAAAAATGTAACCCTAGTATTATATATTTAGACCTGCAAATAACCAAATCCATATTTACAGACTAATGTAGGTCAAATGTAAATATGTATTTATTTCCAGAGAGCTAAAGAGTAAAAAATAAGCCTGTATTGATTCTGGTAAGGTTGAGGATCTCACCAGCAGCAGTAAATGAGTAAAGCCAGGATCAGGAGGAGAAGAACTCCCCCCAGTACACAGGAGATGACCACCACTGCCAACAAAGCCGCTGTAAACACACACACAACCAGACACGTTTACATTTTTATGGGTCAGCACATAACTGTTAATACGGCTGCATCATTTTAGCCTTTGAAATAGTGTTGTTACTCACAATCATTGCAGTTGAAGCCAGCATATCCAAATGCACATCTGAAAGAAAAAAACAAAGGGATATTTGTATTTCAGGGCTGTCCTGCAGCATATTAATGGAGTTTAGCACTGAATCCACATGGGGGAGCCAACTTCACATTAATAACACACAGACACCCCACACCTGACATTAAAAACACACTAAACAAAACGTAAAATGTGTGTACTCACGGCTGGCACGTGTCTCCCACTGCCCTCTGCCCGCTCGGACACGCTACAAAGAGAAACACAATGTTTTGCACAAAGAGACGGAAACAAGAACATAACAAGCTAGAGTTTCAGCCTCAGTCGCAGTAGATGGAGAAGGACAGCACGCCTGGTTGCACATGCAATGAAAACATGAACACAATGAGAGCCTCTTCATATGGAGGCTGCATAGAGACCATTACAAGCACATAATTGTACATTATGTTTTTTTTTCCCCTGGGAAACGAACTGTATGCGGCATTTGTATGAAAGTCTAATTCTTTATTAGCTCTTCCTATAGCTGATCTCCTTGGTCACAACCATCCAGAGAGAGAAAGCTGTGATTCTTCCACGTGTTTCCAGGGAAACAACCCCGTTAAAAAGAAATAAATTAGAGAGATAAATGAAGGAAGGGCCAAGGGTCGGCGCGGAGAAAAGACTACAGCTCTTGACCTTGTCTCTGAGTCTTGCTCCCTGTTGTTTCTCCCCCTCATTCTCTCACACAAGTATTTCCCTGAGGATAAGAGGGGTTTGTTACAGTTCTCCTAACTGCAGATCAGCTGGGAAAATTTCACTTGAGCTTGTCTCAGACACTGCGGGTCATCAGCTCTTATACTTTATACATGAAGCTTTAATAATCTGTGGTGCCATGGCAGCAGAACACTGTAAAGATTACACATTTTGAACATGAAAGACACAACGTAAATACTACAGAATGTTCTGGTCTGCCTCTCGATAAGGGAGATAAATAAAGAATATTAAATCGTCGTTTTTACCTCTGCAGCTGGTGTTTGAGTACAAGATGGAGATGTAGCCCTCTTTACAGGAACAAACAGGACGTCCGTTTGTATTTGTGCAAGTTGTAGTGAAGTCATCACAGGGTAATGGGTCCTGCTCACACAGGTTTGTAGCTAAGATAGAGCAGATATGAGAAAAACCCTCTTCTTTAACCACTGCAACCTGTGGCTCATACATATCAATCAAAGACTTACTACTGCTTACCTGTAAATGTAGCATTAGCCAACAGTGTATTTGAGCCAGCTGAGTTGTCTATGGCCTCTTTAATGGAGTGATCAACAGTCTCTTGAGTGGCATTGGTGTTTTGAAAGACGTTATTTACAGTTGCTTGCACACTTCCTGGTCTGGAGAGTTATAGAAAAGCACCAAAAAAAAAGGTAAACAGTCTATTTTTTGTGGCGTAATATTTCACTGAGAAAGGAGAAAAAAATACTCACGCCAGTTGCACAACCTCAGACTGAATATACCCTGGCTGATTTTTGAGGGCATCTTTGAGCTATGAAAGAGAATAATCATGTGGTTTAATGATAGAGAGAGCAGCATTTAGTAAAGCTATTCAACATGCTTTACTAGCTCATAACCCACCACTGCTGAGATCTCAGCCGCTGTTTCCTGGAATACTGTCGAGGACCTGTTGTTCATTTCCTTTTGAAATGTCAAGGAGGTGAGATGAAGATGGCCTGGGAACACTTGGGCTGAGTGAAGAAGAGAAAAATAAGGCGAGAGTCTCACCGTCACCACCCTGTTATGATGTTTGTTTTTCATCCAGACATGAAATGGTGTTATGTTCTTACCGGGTACACAGCGGTCATCTTGTAGGAAGCTGCCAGAGAGACACTGGCAAGTGCCATTAAGACAGATGCTATCAAGTGGGCATGGGACGGCAGGACACACTGTTGAGAGATGGAAGACAAATGTAAACTAAATTTGTCAAACCTGCAATAACCAACATTTTTGGCAACCTGGGGGCAGTGGAAACAAGACTGACATATCATCACCTTTTAAGTCCATATGGCAAACTTGTTAGCAAACAGTTGCTTAATTACACATCCAGCATACGTGGGCAGCATTATCTTTAATTTAGAGTCATGTTTCTGGTCACCTGATGAACATAAGTCCAATATTCACTCTCTTTTAGCTTTATTTCTGGTCTCTAGTGTCTGGCTTTGTTAGCTTCCAGCTGCTCCACTATGTTCACCAGCTAGTCACTAACTGTGTCTTCCTGCGGTTTGCTGCTGAACAGATAGTGTAGAGTGGCCTTATCAGTGTTTCTTCTCTGAAAACAACGCTATGAGAGCCAAAACCAAAACCAAAACAGTGAGCTGAAACTCATAATAAAGCTCCATAGCAGTTGCAGTGTTACTTTGTGCAGGATTTAAGAAATTCCTTTTACTGATCAGTTACGATGGATCAGGATCGATGAAATCCTTTGCTGTAGTGTTTGGTTGGATAAAAACCTGCATTACAACTTTTTTATCTCACCCAATAGCCTCATGGGTAACCACAAAGAACTACATCAAGCGCTTTGGAGAAAGGTACAAACCTTTGACCGGGATGGGCGGGGCAGCTGTGGTGGAGTTGGTGGTGGTCTCTGTTGGTCGCACGGTGGTGACAGTGATGGTGGTACCAGTGCTGATGGTGGTGATGGTGTTGGTGGAGGTTGGTGTGGCGGTGGAGGAGGCTGTTGTATTGCCAATAGCTGGTGTGGTTGAATGAGTCAAAGTGGTGGTTCCTGCAGTGTGGCTGGTCACTGTAACAACAAAAGATATGTAAAAATATGTCCAAGGACATTTAAATAGAGAACACAACCGTTCTCAACACCTAATAGGGTTACTATGAATATTTACTGTATGTAAACATGAACATGATCCTGTATAAAGCTGTACAAGACAAAATTATTAGAGGAAAAATATTATTATTTACCCTCATCTCAAGTTAGGCCTTTAAGAAGCTGTAGATTCCCCACATATTACAGACTAGCTAGGCTTTCGTATTGTCTGCAGTTTGCTGGCATTAAATTATTCTATGAGGTGATTTCTTAAAAGGACCACAGTGGTAGATGTTATTGCTACAGACCATAACTCCAAAAACATTTTTCCAAAGCATACGAACCATTTTAGATTTATTTCCTGCTCTTCAGGCTACTATGGGTTTAAGTTGATGCAAAGCAAGTTGGAGAGACTCGAAACTTGCTTCTGATAAGTAATAGTGATGTAGATGCAGATTGCAAGAACCTTGTTTCACCCTTTTCAAGCACAATGGAGAAACTACGGTGGGTTAGGGTTAAAAACATGAATGGCCATGTCTAGAGCTGGTGTTTGGTTTGTCCGTCCATAGAAGGTAACAAAAACATAATGATTCTTATTTCCAGGTGTTTATACACTAATGAAAACATACCTACAAATATTACATTCCATTTCTACCAATAAATCCTCCTAAATGTTACGCACTGGACCTTTAAGTGCCTGCAAGGTTCCCATAAAATATTAGCCTAAAACCATAGCTGTCTAGAAGGTGGGGAACTTTCAGTAATAAGAGCTCAAAGCACCACTGTGCAGGCACAGTACAGGCTCACAGTGCATGGCTGTAGACTTGGCAAGGACATGTAGAGTTGTTTAAAGAAAAAGGTTCACATCATATTTTATATTGTGACTTGAGTTGCTTCAAAAGACTTCAAAACCGTTCTGCATGTAGCATCCCAATATAAAATGTAAAATTGTACTTACTGAATTCCTTCTCACCTGCACGTTACAACATATTATTTTGTAAGAACACACATCAACACACATCATGCGGTTAGTCCTACCTCCTGAGGTTGCTGTTGAGGGACTAAGGGTGGTGGTATTTCCAGTGGGGGTTACGGTGCTACTGCCTGGGGAGGTGTTTGGAGGGAGAGAGCTGGAGGTGGAGATGGAGGTAGGTGAGGAGGGTTGGGGTCCGGTTGTGAGGGTTGTGTTTGTGGTGATAGTGGAGGAGGAGAATGTGGTGGTGGATGCGGGAATCACAGGCGAGGTGTTAGTAGAGTTTGTTAGTGTAGTTGTAGTTAGTACAGCTGTAGAGGTTTCTGGAGTTACTGGACTTGGATTTGCTGTGCCGTTGTTGGTTTGTGTGGCCGCTGGAGTTGTTGTGATGTTGCTTGGCTGTGTTATGGCTGTAACCAAGGTTGTGTTGTTGGTCTGTGCAGTCGGTGTGATTGTAGTTGTTTCATTGCTTTGTGTGACTGGTGTACTTGTAGTCGTGACGTTGCTTTGTGTTACCGGTGTACTTGTAGTCGTGACGTTGCTTTGTGTGATCGGCGTGATTGTAGTTGTTTCGTTGTTTTGTGTGATCGGTGCACTTGTAGTCGTGACGTTGCTTTGTGTGATCTGTGCACTTGTAGTTGTTTTGTTGTTTTGTGTGACTGGTGTACTTGTAGTTGTGACGTTGCTTTGTGTTATTGTAGTTGTTTCGTTGTTTTGTGTGATCGGTGTACTTGTAGTTGTTTTGTTGCTTTTTGTGACCGGTGTACTTGTAGTCGTGACGTTGCTTTGTGTGATCTGTGCACTTGTAGTTGTTTTGTTGTTTTGTGTGACTGGTGTACTTGTAGTCGTGACGTTGCTTTGTGTGATTGTAGTTGTTTCGTTGCTTTGTGTGACCGGTATACTTGTAGTTGTTTCGTTGTTTTGTGTGACTGGTGTACTTGTAGTCGTTTTGTTGCTTTGTGTGACCTGTGTGATGGTAGTTGTTTCGTTGCTTTGTGTGACTGGTGTACTTGTAGTCGTTTCATTGCTATGTGTGACTAGTGTACTTGTAGTCGTTTCGTTGCTTTGTGTGATCGGTGCACTTGTAGTTGTGTTTTCACTTGTCATTGTGTGATCTGGAGCAGGTGTGGTGGTTGTTTTTGGAGTCTCACTAGTGTTGGTGGGTTGGCTTGTCTCTAGGCTTGTAGTGGACAGCGTTGTACCACTGGCTGGACTGCTGCTGGTGAAGTTACTGTTCTCCATGGTGTTGTTGACTGTAGCGGTGGTGGGCTCGGGGCTCGGCTCAGAGAAGGTCGTCTCTGCAGGGGTGGTGGTTGGTTTCGTAGTTGCAGATTCTGTGGCATTTCCTACAGTTGTAGTGGCTACTGAAGCTGTAAAGTGCTCTGTGGTAGATGGTAGTGAAGCTGTAGATTCTGTTGTGGCATTTTCTACAGTGGTACTGGCTACTAAAGCTGTGAATTGCTCTGTGGTAGAGGGTAGTGAGGTTGTAGATTCTGCTGTGGCATTTTCTACAGTTGTAGTGGCTACCGAAGCTGTGAAGTGCTCTGTGGTAGAGGGTAGTGAGGTTGTAGATTCTGCTGTGGCATTTTCTACAGTTGTAATGGCTACTGAAGCTGTGAAGTGCTCTGTGGTAGAGGGTAGTGAAGTTGTAAAACTGCTGGTTGTGTGGTTGTGAGAAATCTCAGGAGTGGTGGATGTCTCATTGATCATTCCCTCATTGGTGAAATTATGCGTGGTAAGATCTGTCGTTGTCGTTCCTACAGCCAAAACAAAAGCACATAAAATAATCAGCTCATCGCCTTCTCTCTCTTTGGCACATCTCAATAAAATGTTAGTCAATCCAAATGTGTGATTTAAGCCGCCAGAAAAAGAAGAATTTACAGTAGCTATGTGTAGGATTTGAAATGTTCTGATTTTGGCGCCCCCCAGTGGTATTATCAGAACACATACAGTGGCAGCTGGAAAAATAAACACTGTACAAATGTCCAGATAAATGTGCTCATGAAACAAAAAAAATCAGGATAAATAAAGGAAAATGCTAGATAAAACCTGCATTAATAGATTTTTTGTCACTAGGGGGCAGCATAAGATATAAAGACAATATTACACTATTAAGTTTGATATAGTGAGCTTATTTACACATCAAGCAGACATAGCAACATTAGCATTCATTTGAAGTCGTGTTTGTGTCCAATAGATGAATGTCACTCTCTGTTTGGGGCTCTTTAGCTGCTAAATGCTTCGCTCTGTTCGCAGCTTTTTCACTGAAAACATCCGCCTCCTGCAGCTGGAAACAATGCTGATAAGAGCAGTGAGAGAGAACCAAAACCATAAAGCTGAGGACCATAAGCCAATCTGCTAAAAGATGCTAAAATACTCCACAGAGCTGAGGAAACAGGTGATAATTCTCTGTGGGTTCGTCAATACAAGCAACATACAAGTAGTCATTTGATCCATTGTTAATATACAAATATTGATTAAAGCAGCTTTAAGATGTGTAATTGCCACATCACAGCTTACCAGCTTAATTATCCATGCTAATTACTAAAGGAAAATAATGCATTAATTAGCAAATATTTCCATGTTAATGCACTTGTATTCACATGTTCATATTCACAGAGAAACAAATAATAACTCAAAATCTAATTAATTCATCTACTGTCTACAGGAAGCTTGTTGTAAGTGTGACATTTCTGTAATTTTAACAAACGTGTCTACAGACAGATGCCAACATAAAACATAAAGTCCTGCACACTGTCCCCAACTATGACAGGAAATGATTATATAAGAGGACATTTATTTCTCATAATGGAGTTATATATTACTAAGATATTGCTACCTTCAGTCGTTCATTTTCAGCCTTACTGTCACTGCACAGAGTACAGGTGACAAGACAACAAAATACAGTAAATGTTGATACCCATACTGGGAGTCAAACCCAGGCCACCAGGGTGAAAACCAGGAATCCTAACTGCTAGACCATATGGGACCTGATAACAGGGATTTTAATGGTTTCATCATCGTCATTAGAATCATAAAGCACATGTTTTGATTTGAGATCTTCTCATAAGACTGCACTAATACAAGTAGACAGAGAACACATTGTAAACCTTGTATCGCTTATTTGATTTCTCTTCACTCATGTGATATTCCAAAACTCACAGTAGTTTAAACTGTAAACACAGAGGGCAACAAGGTTGTGGCTTAAATAACTATTTTAAGATTGAGTGTGTAAAAACAGGGACAAAAGCAGTGACTCAGCAGATAAGAGTTACCGTAGGTGACGGCTGTTTACAACACCGAGATGTGTCAGGCACAACTGCCGCCAACTCTATTCGACCGTCTTAAAGGAAAGAGCTCTGCCTCTTATTTGTTCTTTGTGCTGTCGTGACGCCTGTTCCCATTTTGCGTGCCCCCAGTCTTCGCTTTGTGTTTATGGGGGAACAGAGGAAGCCAGAGGGCAGCTTGAGGAGCGGTACAAACAGTAGGAGGTCTTTGATAATGGCTTAGCCTGTTTACCTCAGCTCCTCATCTGTATGCATTGAATGATTACATTCAGAGTTCCTTTCCAGAAGCCAGAGAGTGAACATGCTACTGAGAGCCAAATGGGTGGACGCCTTTTACAAACAGTTTTCTCCAGTAAGTCCTCTCAAAAGTACAAGGAAGTGGTGAGAAAACCAGGACTAATATCAGATCCTGAAGGTGATTTGATTATTTTCTCTGTGTACAAGGCCCTGTGTGACCTAATGTCTTTATCGCTTGGTAACCAAGACTCATTTAGAGATGAAAAATCACAGGCTCCACACACCCTGTGACAGCAGACTTTTATGGGTACAATGCACATGATGTACACACACAGACACACCCATTCCCACCTTCAAAGATCATGCATTACAGGAGTGGAAGAAGACATTAAGCAATCAACGATGATGGATGAGGAAGTGACGAGAGGTGGGAAAGACACAGATATAGTTTAAAATTACATTTTTAATGGGAATAAAGTAAAGGAGTGGCAGAGTTAAGCAGGGCCAGATCTATATGTGAAGCAGCGGAGCGTGAGATCATTGCTGTAAAACACATATATCAATTTGTGATTGGCTCGTCCAGATTAAGATTTAAGGCCAATGGACTAATCTCACTGGAAGACCAGAGATCAAGATTAATGAAAAACCTCTTAAATCAGATCTAGTCGACCATGGTCTTGATTAGCCCTGTTACATTCTCTGTGCGTTTACATTTTAGTATCAATTGAACGACTGAGTTGAAGGTTAAACATTTCCCTTTGCACCTCATTCCTGTATACTTTAAATTCTAATAAAATCTCAGTTTTATCTCCTTGCATCAAAAATGATCACATTTAAGCTGTTTTTCAGACTCCTATTGCTTTATAGAACCGTTTCAGTACACATCCTGTAGATTAGTCGGGTGTGTGCTCCACTACATTTGCTCGGTGCGATGCTCAAAGCCAGCAGGTAGATCTGTGTGCTGAAGGCAGTGGAGGTCCTAAATGTATATAAAATACAGTTCTTAACACAAACTAATGATCAACACACAACCAGCTGTCAAGAAACAAAAGAGTAACATTAACTCTGATGGTGTGGACTGGTCATAAACTCTGTCAAAGACCCTGATCGGCTATATGTTTGTGTGTGTGGAGAAACCACTTTCTTATCACCTTTTATCTCCACATAATTGTCAGGTTGGAAAGTTTACAGTGTTACAGCCGCTCTCTGTGTCTTGACTAATAATACACTAAAACTAATCAGGATCGACATACCGATCAATGACTGAACACTTAAGAAATCATAAAAAACGGACAGGGTCAGTGTTTAAAAGAGGGCATCAGAGAGAGTTGTAGCTGGGGGAGAATTATATGACTGAATACAATCTGTCCTGCCAGAACTATTGCCATAAAGTGAGGAGACATCTTCATCTTCATCTTCAGTTATCAGTGCTCTATATTAAAAAAAAAACTTGTACTTTGTGTTTAGTCCTAATTAGCAAATGTTAGCATGCTAACACGCTAATATGTTGGATCGACATTTGGTACAGATATTGATGTCCCCCATCATCTGATCAAAATTTTAATTTATGAAATGCTGTGATAGATATTTAAAGACCAAATACCTGCTAAACTAAAGGCGTAGCCTCACAATCATCCTCAGCTGCTAAAACTCGTGTTTAGTGCTAATTAACAAAGGTTAGCACGGTAGCACACTAAGGGGTCATCCCTATGTTCCCCGCTGTAACCTGGGCCCACTGACGTTTCGTCTGTTGCTTGTGTGTTTGCTTGTGTGTGTACGCAGTTGTACCTTCATTATTAATTCATTATCTCAGCATTGTTCAGGGTCAGGATCATTTATTGGTACTTTAGCTGGATACGCTTATCATTATGAATGTACAGAACCTAGAAAATCATAAATCCAACTGATAAAATAATTTTGTTTTGGTGAGATACCCTTTATTTATTATTTGGTGTACTGTTGTGTTGTGGGGCTTCATCATTCATGAAGGTGAACTTTAAGGGTCAGTTCATCCAATTACTATTTTTCAATAAAATCAACAAAAATAAAAATCTGAATTTCACTCCAACTGAAACTGAAAAAGTTGGTCATTAATGTGCAGAACTAAATTAATGCCAGATCTGATAACCTTGACATCAAAGCATTTTTCCAGTAAACGATAGATAAATGTGTTGGTAGCAGTAATGAGTTATGAATCACAGTACTGTAATTTGTAACACCTAAGGTAAACTACTGTCATCCTTATCATTACCTACAGCTAAGACCATTACAAGTAGAGCACAAAGAGATAAAGAAAGGCTTTTCTTTGGAGGAATTACACAATCACCTGTCAATACCGCCAATGGAAAACATACACAAGAGGGGTTTTTTGGGTGTGATGATATCTCAAGTTTCCGAGACGGTTGTGATAAGAAACTTTGATATGAGATTAGCATTGACGTAATTTACAGTAAGTCATCATTACTGAACTGACCTTATAAAGGCTCAGTTTTTAAACATGTGGCCTTCACATGCACTTACTATGAGAGACCTTAAACAGAGGCTCCTGGCATGCTGAGGTGTTTCTAATATCTCTCAAAAATAACTCAGATAAAGAGAGATGGTCATGAGAACGCCATCTATTTGTTGATGTGATGGACAAAAGGGAAATTCACAGAGAAGATGGCGTGTATGCATGGTTTAACACAAACAAAGAGTGGTTCTCCTTTCACTAATTTTCACAGAATTGATTGCTTCCACCGTCATACTCCATTGCTGCTTCTCTGTTTCCATTTACAGTTCATTGCAATGTCAGCCGTGAATGCCAAAAAGTTCCACAGGCGAGTTATGATGCCCCAGGAAAATACTGATATAACAAAAGCAGCAACAATATATTTTTAAACTTCTCTAACTTCACCACAGACCATAGCATGTTAGACGCCTGACGCCTTCTGCTTTTCGTGAGAAGGCTGGTGAAGTTACCCTTACTGGGAAAGGTTTATGAAACCCATATGAGACAATGTAAACAGATAGCAGTTAGTGTAATACACTTGAAAACAGTGGAGTAATTAAGAGCACACTCTGCCTTGCACGCCTAACAGGGAGCCTTGTCTCTGAGGATTTAACCTACAGCCGGATAATCCCCTGCAGACACAAAAGGGATGACTGGGTCAGGCAGGGTGACAAGTGGGTCTAAGGTCGACCCGCGAGCACACGCTCAGGAGGATGTGGATAAGAAGGTCCGGCTTCACCCA